AAACCACCGTACGAGACACCAGAAGGTGGCTGAAGACGGAGAACACGGACGGCACAGCAAGAATAAACAAGGAACGCGAACACACACAAAAAAAAACGGGGGAAACTAACCCTCGCGAGCATTGGACGTGTCTCTACAAGGTGTGGGCAAGGTATTGTCACTCCTGACTCTCGAGAGGGACGCCACTCCAACTGACAAAATACTACCACCAGACAGGGCAACGAAGCCATAAATGAGTGCGCACCAACAGTCAACGGGCAAGACAAGCACGCAACCGAATACCCCCCGCCCCCTCCCCCCCACCCCGCCCCCACCTCACCCCGAGCCCTCCCGCAGGCTGCGGCTTCCGCTGTGCGCCACCACCACCTGCCCCCCCCGCGTCCCCGGAGGGAGAGGAGCCGAAGATGAGATTGACCGCGATGGATGTGGGGTAGAACCGGGTAGACTTGGCCTTCCGCTTGAAGAGGAGCCCGAGCTCCACGAAGTCCTGGGCCAGATCGCGCTGCGTTTGGGTGAGCGCTCCCAGCGGGTAGGCGTCTCCCACCTGCCAGCGCGCGCGAAATACACAGCCGAGGAGTCGGGGGCGGCGCAGGGTACTACTAGTGACAGAAGCCACGGTGTTTTTTAGGTGGGGGGTCGGTGAAGAACGACAAGGCATGGTTGATGCGGTGGCGCAGGCGCTCCGGACAACGGTGTCGATAGATACGCCGGCAGTACCAGCCGCTGTACAAGGGACAGCGCTTCTTGTGAAATACGAAACAGTAGTGGGTTTTCTGGACCAAGCCGCTCAACACCTTCCTTGCCAAGCTGAGGCGGAAGAGCAGACGAGGGAAAAAAAAAAAAGGATTTTCTATGCTCATCGAGAAGGCGACATGCCGGAAAACCGGTGAAGCATCCGGCTAGTTGCAAATACCGCACCACCACCACTCAGCGTTTCTACGATAAGATGGTGCTTGTTGCCCTACCTTACAGTAGCTTAGCTGAAAGAGGAAGGCGAGCAGCTCGTCGCGGCAGCCGGGCTGAGTCCTGCCGTAGCCGTTGATGAGAGCGTGGACGACCATCCAAGCCTGCACGTGTGCTTCCTTGAGCATGAACTCGTACCTGTCGTTAGGTGTCAGGGATGCGAAGAAAAAACATGGGGCATGGGTGGTGATGATGCTGCTGTTGTCGTGGTGGCAAGAGTGATGAGACCAGTCCCACGGAAGGTGGAATGACAAGGCAGAAACAAACAATGCCTCGAATTCGCAGTCCTTCAAACAGTGATACCTCGAACAGACAGGCCAGTTCGACGAGGGTATACAGCGCCCTCCAGCATCGATGACGTGGAGAGCACCCTCGCCCCCCCGCGCCCCACGCCTCCCCGCAAACACAAAAAGCTACCCCCCCGCGCCCCACGCGAACAATTCCACGCCTCTTCTTGCCCTTTGTCGGTGATGCGGAGAGCACCCCCCCCTCTGACGGGTCTCATGAGGCCGCTTTCTTCCATAAACTTGACCACCCTGGCAGGCGGTGTGCTCCTCCCCTCCTCGTCGGACCCCACAAGGAAGTAGAGTACATCTGTAGGACCCCCATGTGCGAGGAAAAAATGAAAAGCATGGGCGAACTTTCATGAAAATAGGTTGTACGAAAGTAATCATGGTTGTAAATGTTGCTGCATCGGTTCTATCTCATACTCAGGTAGGAGATTTTCGGCTCGTTTGAATGGCTCCGGAATTCTCGGAGACCGATCAACAGGCACCATATGATGATAAAATGGGTGTTCGTAAACAAAAAGTGGTCGAAACACCCAATCACATACCGCACTGATGACTTTGTTGGTGATTGTTCTGGCCTCGTACTGACCTTGCCACTGCGAGTGCATCTGCCGCTCGATCTTAGCTACTGTCGGCGGGCTCCTATCCGCCGAAAGAGGCACGTCCCCCTTCACACACGGACGGAGACAGGAACAATCCAAACGTCAGGCACAAACCACGCGAAGAGCTTTAGCCGAACACTGCCACAGCAGCAGCAGCAGCAGCAGCAGCAGCATCGTCATCGACTTGTCGATGAGTAGTATGCGGTGTCTTGCCTTCGCGCAATCGGCTTTTCTTTGCGCTAGGAGGGGCTTAAGGTTAGGGAAAGCACGGCGGCAGCGACGTGGTAGGTTTAGTCCGCCTCTCGAGTCTAGGCACCGCCCATAAACAAGGTTCGGTTTTGACACGAAGAGCTAATCGTGCGGGTTTTCAAGTGTAGTGGGCTCCGGCGAACGCGTGCATGCTTGGGGTGGAAGCACGCCATTGGATCATGATGGAATACGATCGGCATACAAGAGCGACAGAGGACATGCTTCGAGAGAGGCACTATCAGGCACAAACTACGGCTCGGTTCGACACCACCAAAAATACCTGCCACGGTGTCTTGTCCGACGCGCAGAGAGCTCGCTGCAGGTTTTCCCTGAACGGAGGGTTCAACTGGTACTCCTGCCCGTCCGCGCTAGGCAAAAGAACTCGCAGGCTGACCAACTGCGCCCTCGTCCGTTGACGTGTTTCAGAGGGTCAAGTTTGGGCAACAAGCCAGCCATTGTTTTCGGGTGCGGAACGGAGGAGAGGTGTGTTCAGAAGTCAACGTAACCCAAACATGTTTGAAAAGTGTACATAGAGGGGAGCATACACATGACCTAGGCAAAGGTGGTGGTGTTCCCGGCGGCGGCGGAAAGATTGCCGCTTGCCTGCGTTGTCAGGGGTGCTCGTTTGGATGCTGTATCATGTACTACTGCTGCAGGCCCTTGTTGGGGATCGTTCTCCTTCTCGATCCCCGAAGGCAACGCGGCATCGAGGAGGGCAACACCAGAGCGTCAGGCACTGGGAAACACTCAATCAACGCAGAGATATGCATCCAAGGGACCACTGCTGTTGCCAAGAGGAGATGTAACTGCTATCGCATGACCCGGTTCATCATCACGATCGCGCGTGGTCGTTTCTTTGGCGCCGAGCTCACAACAAAGTCGCACGCAGTAGCAGCACCTTACGGACAGACGCGGCGTGGACGCGCTGGTACTCCTTTTTCACCCAAGACTTGAGCATCCCCTTGCCCACAGGCCCTTCCACGAACAGCAGCCGCATCACGTGCTGCTTGGCCAGCTGCGGCAGCGACTGCAGGAGGGCCCTGCACGTCCACTGCCCGTGGCTTCTCCCGCCCTGCCCCTGCGCCGCCGGCGGTGCCGCGCCGTAGAGCTTGTCAAGCGCGTCTGGAGGCAGCCTCTCGAGGTAGTCGAACACGTTCAGGCTCATCGTCGTGGTGGATGCCAGCAACCCGGGCAGACCAGCGTTGCTTGAGGACTCCATTTGACCCGTATGATGGTTGTGTCACAAGCCGGATAGCAAGTACACACCGTATGTTACGGCCAGGCCGAACAAGGGGGCGCGCGCGGGACTGTCAAATTCGGGCGATGCCTCCGGCATACGTCGCGAGCGGCGGCGAGAAAAGGAGCTGCTGCGACCGCGGGAGACGGGGGACGGGAGACGCCTCACACACGCCTACGTAGCAAAACAACCATGAGCAGCCTCGATTACAAGGAGGACGCCAGAGACCTCCACGCGTTCAAAGAGCTGCGCTTCTTCCTGAGCCACTCGGTCCCGCTCGAGATCCGCTGCGGCGTCGCTCGCCTCGAGCTCCCGCTTGTTGCTGACTACCTGCTTGGAAGCGACGGCGGCATCGCGGGCGGCGATGCTGACTATGGGAACAACAACCAACAGTCGCGGCAGCAGCAGCATAAAACGAGGGGCCAGCAGAAGAAGCACGGCTTGGTGCCCGAGGTGGCGGCGGGCACCGCTGATGACGGCGAGGAGATTGCGCGGATTGTCAGGCGCATCGTCGCCGAGCCGGAGCTGGTTGCCACCTGCCAGCTCTTCTCCGACGGACAGCCCATGCACAAGATCGCCATGAGGTATCTACATCGAAGTCTCTTCCCGCGTGGTCATGCAAGGGTAGAGAGAGACAGACAGATAGATAAGCAGAGCGCTGCGGAGTGGGTTGTATCACGAAACGCCCCATGTCGCTGTCAAGACAACCGTAACCGAACATTGTTGCGAGCCGCACTTTCCCCGTTAAGCTTCTCAGACTGGTATGTGCTACAGACCTACACTTCGAGTTTAGTATTTACTCCGTCCCCCGAGTCTGCGGCAGCAATTGCCACATAATATGCGGAAGTCTTTGAACTTGTCCAGCAAGAACAATACGAACTGTAGTCAACCAGTGTGGGATGTATAAGAGGCTTAAAAACATTTTTCTCTTTTCTAAGATAGATATGGATTCGTTGTGTCATATTAAGAAGAAAAAAAAAAGGAAGAGCGATTGCACTTTCATCGGGTCCGTGTTGTGTGCGTCAACCCCCATTCGTCCAATGAGCCCCGCCGTCGGTGATCGGCACGTTTGGGGTGTTCCGGCAAGCATCCAACTTGCAAACAACAGCAGCGGCAGTAGGCAAGTAGCCGAACATCATTCGAAACGGGGCGCTTCAACACCGCTCGCTCGCTTGTTGCCCCAAACTCCCCCCCGCCGCGAAACCTCACGCGTTACGCGGGTATGTTTCACGGGTGGTCCTCTTCCGCACTCACCGGGGTGGAACGGAACAGCTCGCATACCCCGTCGAGATACGACCCGAGGCAGCATGCCATCGTTTGGGACGACAGCATGTGTTTTCCCGTGCGGTACAGAGATCTCGACCGGAACTCCCAGCTGGTGAGTGAACTGTACCAGCCCTCTCCCGTGGTGATCTGTATGCGGTGGGAAGAACACTCCAAGGTACAGGAGCGTAGTCTTGCTACTTGCGTACCTACGCGCTGCAACTCGTAGTAGCAGTGCCTGCGGGTATCTGCGTACGTCTGGTTGTAATCGCAGATGGATGGGTCACTACAATCACTTCGTTGTGGTCCAGGTAAGGTGTGATTTCCGTATGTAGTATTGCTGGTACCATGGTGGCTGAGGGGGTGCCTACTGCTGACAACATGTACCCCAAAAATAGAAATACTCACAGGTAGAGGAGCGGGATTGGCGCAAACGAAGTGAATCATAAACCTACAACCATAATACACAAACAAAAACGATTTTTGTCAGGTGGTGGTCTTGCGGGGGGCGAAGGACCGCCTCGTGGGCGTAGCGAGCATGCGTTTCTTCGACGCGAACGGCTCCCTCAACATGGGCCTCCAGAAGCGGCCGTTTCTCTTCACCGACAGGGCCCCCTTCTCGTGGGACCCGGCCGCCCCGCCGTCCGGCAGAGAGCCGGGGCAGGACGGAGTATGGTGCGGTAGCGGCGGCGGCGATGATGGCGGCAACGGTGACCGCGACGGGATTCTCTCCACGGATGACTGGGGGTTTGCATTAGAGCGGGTGAGGCGTGTTCGTTTGGCGGCGTATGGATACTCAGTTAGACGCATCTCGTTCTCCTCGGGACCCCACGTCGCACATGTGATGGGGGGGGGGGGGGGGGGGGG